AAAAAAACATACATGGTTTCCTAAGTGTAACGCAAAACGAAATAAAGTGACCTCACTATACTCAATAACCTGCAACAAAGAAATTGAGAGACATAATAAAAGAAAAGAAAAGAAAAAAGAAATTGAGAGACATAATAAAAGAAAGAAAAAAGAAAGAAAGAAAAGAAATGAAAAAAACAACAAAAAAAATCAGTGGAGTGGTTATGGTCCGTACCGACGAAAGACAATAATAAGAAAACAAACAAACAAACAAAAAAGATGAAATAGACGACGTGGAATAAAAAAATAAAGAAGGAAAGGAGAATTACAAGAAAATAGACTTTCAACCAAGCAAAGTTCACTGCCAGTACCGTCGTGATGTGAAAATCGATCTTTACTTATCTGTCACTGCCATTTTTGCTCATTATAGCACTTTCTTCCTCCGTAAAGGACCTCTCAGCTTTATGATATTATGTACTTAATCCTGTCGTTGGATTGTACTTAAAGTAGGTTTATTACATGTAATAATTACACGCGAAATCTTATAATTATAGGTTGTATTGTGCTTCTTATTTTTATTTGCATTTTTTAATTGCAATTTTTAGCTGTGCATATTCTATCTTGGTCTCAATTTATTGCATAGAATACATCCAAGAACATGAATTTTTGGTGTATGATATGTAGGAGAATTTAATAATCTATTAACTGTTCTAGATTAGTATCCTGAACTCTTGATATAAGTACGAAATGTAAAATATATGATGAAGAGTCTTATAAGGACCAATTTCCTATATTCTAGTTGTATTATAGTATTTCTTCAAGTGTCAGATTTGTTTTATTTCTAACAGACAGTCATTTTTGATAACTGGCAACACTGCATCGATTTCTCAATGATACTTTGGAGAGACAGTTATCAAATATTTCTAAATATGGTTTGTAAAAAAAAGAAAGAAAGAAAGAAAAAAAAAATATGTGCGTATTTTGTGAATGGATATGTGAACGTCTGCGTGACATGGCGTTCGTATTATGCGTCTGTGCAGCTTTATACGGATATGAAAAATATATATCTTACGAAAAAGGAAATGTGATTTTACTTAATTCCCCTCAAAAGACCCTGGATCATTATCATCGTCATTATCACTATCACCACCATCACCACAACCATCATCATCATCATCACCATCATGATCATCATCGTTATCACCATCATGATCATCGTCATCACCATCGATCATCGTCATCACCATCAGATCATCTCATCACCATCGTCATCATCATGATCATCATCATCATCATCAGAGCAATAGGACTACTTATATTTTTCCCTTTCAATACATTCACAATGCAGCTAATATGACTACATTACTATATCACCTACTCTTTATTTCACTTCTTGATCTTCATATCATATCGTTTTATCCATAATTCATCCTTACTGTTTACTTGTGTCACGGAAATCGAAGCTTTTGTCTTGTATTCTCTTTTTTTCTTGCAATTTTCACTGTCTCCTCAATATATCTTCGTTTCTCTTAATTTCTCTCTCTATAGGTCTATGCTGTTCTTTGCAATGCTTATTTCTTCTAGTTTATTCCGTTTATTAGACGTCTTTTGCCCCTTTAACTCTAGTATTTTATAATCTTCATTATAATCTTCAACTATCTCTTTTTCTTTCTTTTTCCTGTTTTGTTTTTGTGTCTCCTCCATATCACAGGAAAATTGTACCTCGTGTATTCAATAGTCTCGATTTTGTTTTTTTCCTTTCAACTTTGATATATGTTGGTTACTGCTTCTCTGATATGTCAAATTATAGGATTTATTATCGGTTTTATTACTTCTTATTCAAAAAAGTTTTCATTATGCATCCACCAACTTATCAAAAAAAGAAAGAAAGAAAAAAAAATGACGCAAAACTGCAGTTCTCACCGAATTTACAAACCAACGTGAAAATACATCTTTAATTCTTCGCAAAAAGTTCCAGATCATCCATGAACAATAGCTGACAGAATGCCAGACCGTTTCCAAACTGCACTCGGAAAATTAATTATCTAAAGGCGCATTTTAACGGCAGGATATTTCTTTAAAAAAAAGAAACCTCGTTCATTCCTGTTTTTGACGGAACTTCTTGGTCAGATATCTTGACAATTACTAGATAAGTCTGGAATGGTGTTCATCTCTCCCTCACACCTTCAAAAAACAAAAACTTTTGCCCTCAGTGATGCTATAAAAGTATAAAAAAAAAATAGCGCACTTATAAAGCCCTTTGCGCTCTTTGAACTGAAAGGACAGAATCTGAACTCATGTCCTGCCTTTACCTTAACTTCAGATTAGGGTAGCATGGGCCACATCCTGCCTTTACCTTAACTTACTTTGTCAGATTAGGGTAGCTTGGGCGTGGAAAAGCTACCTCATGTAGCGGGCTGTGACCTTTGGAAAATATAAGATAAGATGAATAAGATTAATGGCATATGGAATGAATAAATACACAATCACATTGAAATAAATAACATAGATCATCTATAAGATGAAAAACTAACAAAGAAACGCAACTCACGACAACTATATGGAATAAGATAAGATGAATAAGATTAATGGCATATGGAATGAATATACAATCACACTTGAAAGCAACGAGCAATTATATGCTACAACACAACTGAAGATAGAAAAAAATAATATATAACGGATCAATTAAAACCGTCGGGCACCCAAGTGACACAAGATAATCAATTAAACCTAAAAAAAGACAGATATATTGTAAACTTACTACTCTAGTCAAAACTTTCTGTAAACGGAGTCATTGATATGTTAATTATTCATATCTTCATGATATGATATATTTTCATTAGTTAGGGCGAATAAATTTCTACATTTTCTTTCGTACTCAAAAGGCATGTTCTTATAAAAGAAAATGAAAATTTAAAGGGATAACTATCCGATTATTACCTTGTCTCTCCCGAATCAAATAATTTGCAAAATATGACTTAAAGACACATTATATTACTTTTTCCTTTTTACTACTCATAGAAAAAATGCTAATGATTGTGATCATAATGTTAATAGTTCAGTCAGCTTGCACAATGTACGAGAAGGCCTATGAAATGGTCCATATGGCTATAGGCCTACATGCAAACGTTGGTATCGTGGTAGCCATACCGGTTTTTGTCGTTCTTATTGCTATCATTATTGTCAATATTGATATTATTGTATGTTATTATTACCATCATTGCCATCATCACCAATATTTTTACTTTTGGTATCATTGTTATTATTTTTGTCATTGTTGTTATTACTATCATTATTATCATTATAATCATAATCATTATCATTAATTCTCCTTATTACTATTATTATCATTATCACTAGCATTATCAGTATCACATATTACTATCATTATTATTATCATTACTGTTTTATCATTATCATTATTGTTTTTATTATTATCATCATAATCATTATCGTTATTATTTTCATCATCATCAATTTCACCATTACTATTATTATCATCATTAATTGGCTACCATAATAAGTATAATTCTTATTCTTCTTATTGTCATTATTATCATTATCATTATTATTGTCTTTTTTATCATAATCATCTTTATCTCCACCTTCATTAATCATTACCATAATGATTATTATTGTCATTATCATTATTATTATCATATTATTATTTACATCATTATTATTATGATAATCAATAACAATAATGATAATGATATTAATAGTGATAATGATAATGATGATGACAATAAAATAATAAAAACTAATAATCATCTTTGTTATCATAATCATTATCATTATCATTATCATCATTATTACTATTAATTATTATGATTATTGTTATTACCATTACTGTCATTATTGTTGTTATTGTAATTATTATTACAATTCTTATTTTTTTCATTATCATTAGTTACCAATTATTATTATTATTATTATTATTGCTATTGCCATTAGTATTAGTATTTACCAATATTGATATCATCATCATCATCATTATTATGATCGTTTGCATAAAGTTGATCATCATTATTGTTATCATCATCTCCATCATCAATTTTATTATTACCATCATTATCATTGTTATTTTTATTATTTATAGGTTATTATAATCGTGAATATCACTGTTATTATTAACCTTATCTTTAACTACTGTTGCCGAAAATTATGATTTCCTACTTCACGACAAAATCTCAAATCTCAAAAATTACAATTTACGACAAATCTCAAATCTCAAAAATTACACGACAAATCTCAAAATCTCAAAATCACAATTTAAGATATTGTTTCATTGTACTGAAAGAATTCCTCAGTGCCCTAAACTCTCACATTCATGACGTCACACACAACCAGTCTTTCCATTATTCCCCGATAATTCCTAATAAATGATATGACTGCGCACTTACCGCAACAACACAATTAAAACCGCGTGCGTGTGTGATCTGCAGCTGTTCTCGGAAGTGGAAAAAACACCAACATGAAATTCGCCAAACTTGGGGAGATGGGAGAGCGACGTCAAAGGAGAAAAAAACAGAGAAATGAGGAGAGAGGAGAGGAAGAGGTGAGGAAGGGAAGAGAGAGGAAGATGAAGAGAGCGTGAGGGAGAGAGAGAGAGAGAGAGAGAGAGAGAGAGAGAGAGAGAGAGAGAGAGAGAGAGAGAGAGAGAGAGAGAGAGAGAGAGAGAGAGATAGAGAGAGAGAGAGAGAGAGAGAGACAGAGAGAGAGAGAGAGAGAGAGAGAGAGAGAGAGAGAGAGAGACAGAAGACAGAGACAGAGAGAGAGAGAGAGAGAGAGAGAGACAGAAGACAGAGAGAGAAGAGAGAGAGAGAGAGAGAGAAGAGAGAGAGAGAGAGAGAGAGAGAGAGAGAGAGAGAGAGAGAGAGAGAGAGAGACCGT